TAGCCTTCGCATTTGGAACATTAGTTCTATGGTACGTAAGAAAGTGAGTCTTGTATTCTTGACACCAAATCATTATATTTGTGTGAGGTAAGTGTTAGGTTTCTTTTTTTAGGAAGAAGAAAAAGCAGAGCTCCCTTGCTCATGCGTAAGATACTAATGTTTGATACACCTACAATATTTACTTCTCAAATGTACCCTGTGTCAAAAAACAAGGAGTTATCTATGAAACTTTTTGGTAAATACCATTTTACTTAACAATGAGTGATGTCTCAACCGAAGATTTTTTTATGATTATTACGAGAATAATCTTTACAACATATGTGAAAGACAAAAAAATTCAAATAGTCTCTGCTAAACGGAAATTGTACCAATACTTTTGACAAAATTATACGCATATTTATAATAGTTGAAGCTTTTGCGATGTAGTATAAAAATGTTTGAAAATAGACCGCCATAAATCAGAGACCATCTATACGACAATCAAGCTTGTGTTTTACTAATACTTCTGCTCTTATTATCACTAGATAAATTCACGGTTATTTCTGAGCAATTTTTTACACTTGTAAGCATTTTTTACACTTGTAACTACTAGCCATAAGATATCATTAAATTTTACAGTCTTGACAACTTTTTAACAGATTTCGTGTTAATATGTGATTGAGACATTATTCAGTAAGTTCTAGTAATTTGTAGGTAAACTTGGTCATAAAAGTTCCTACTGCGTCACCCGAGTAGAAATTTTCATAGGGCCCTCATCAGGTCCACATATAGCATGCCCTACTTCGAAATCAGGTCCGGGTCCGGTGCTCTAATAAGGGCCCTGTGCGGTATGTAACGCCACGTATCAAATGGCCCTGATCAGGCTGCCGGGCTCGATCCTGATCAGGCTGCCGGATTCGGATGTCCTTATCAATTTCATTGCATTCAAAGAAAAAGAAATAAATACATAATATTTTTTAATTTATAAAAGTTTTATTTTAAGAACAGTATATATTTGAAGAAATGTACTACTCGTAAAATTCGGGTTTTTACATTTATAATATTAAAATTTTATAATTATAATATAAGAATATAAACAAATATATTTTTAATTAATGTTTATTGTATTTTTTATTTTTTTTGAAAAAGTCTGACCCTCCCAATCTTTTGCGTTATTAATCACTGCTCTGAGCGCCTCAAGAAAATCTTTTTGTTTTAAATGTGTCTTCTTGGCTAAATAATATTCTTCTTCTATTGCTTCTGCAATTAATATAACATATTATACATAAAACGATTTATTTAATGCAATAAATATGTATATAAAAACAGTCATACTATAATATAATATATATAAAAATATATATATAAATATTTGTAGTATAATATATATTATATAAATTTTGTATTATACAGGGTGTGAAAAAGTACTGGCAAATAATCTCGAAAACTAAGCATTTTAAGAAAAAGTGTTTCAGATAAAAGTTAGATAAGATTTCAAAGAATCTTATTATTATTTATTGAATATTTATTGATTTTATCAGTTTGCCCTTGGATGACGTCGCCATCTAAGATAGATCAGAACAAGGTCATATCTTGAATTTTTTAAATGGAACACCCTATTGTTTATTACATATTCTTGTAGTCCTTCTTTAGATCTTTTCAAAGCACTATATTCTCTATCTACTTTAAATAAGCCATTTCAATGTTATCGAGCTTTATTATGATAAAATGTCGAGCCTATAAAAGCAAGATCGGAAGATAATCTAGCCAAGGCAAGATCGGAAGATGATCCTGCCAACTAAGGCAAAATCGGAAGATGATCCAGCCAATCAAAACAAAATCGGAAGATAATCCAGCCAACCAAGGCAAGATCGGAAGATGATCAAGTCAACCAAAACAAAATCGGAAGATGATCCAGCCAACCAAGACAAGATCGAAAAAAATATGATCCAGCCAATCAAGGCAAGATCAAAAGATGATCCAGCCAACCAAAACAAGATCGAAAAATATATAATCCAGCCAATCAAGGCAAGATCAAAAGATGATCCAGCCAACCAAAACAAGATCGAAAAATATATAATCCAGCCAATCAAGGCAAGATCGGAAAATGATTCAGCCAACCAAGACAAAATCGGAAAATGATTTAGCCAACTAAGGCAAGATCAGAAGATGATCCACCCGACTAAGGCAAGATCGAAAAATATATGATCCAGCCAATCAAGGCAAGATCGGAAGATGATCCAGCCAACCAAGACAAGATCTAAAAATATATGATTCAGCCAGTCAAGGCAAGATTGGAAGATAATCCAGCCAACTAAGGCAAGATCAAAAGAGGATTCAGCTAATCAAGGCATGATCGAAAGATATGATCCAGCTAATCAAGGCAAGATCGGAAGATGATCCAGCCGATCCAATTTTGTTTTCGTGGACTAGACATCTTATCATAAAAAGTTCGATAACATTGAAACGGTTTATTTAAAGTGGATAGAAAATATAGTGCTTTGAAAAGATCTGAAGAAGGATTACAAGAATATGCAATAAACAATAATGTTCCATTTAAAAAATTCGAGATGACTTTGTTCTGACCTATTTTAGATAGCGACGCTATCCAAGATCAAACTGATAAGATCAATAAATAGATTCTTTGAAACTCTATAACTTTTATCTGAAACACTTTTTCTGAACATGCTTAGGTTTCGAGATTTTTTGCCGCGCGTACCAGTATTTTTTATACACCTTGTATAATATATGATATTATATAATGTTACCTTTTATACATTTATAAAATTATGTGTTTGCAAATACTTTTTTACCAGTAATTTGCTTTACTGCAGTGAACTCTATTACTACAGTCCGGGTTGCATATTTTTTAATGATATTTGTAACAGTTCGTGACACTGAAGCATCAGTATCAATGACATTATACTGTTACGTCCTGCGACTCCACGGTTCCCTTCTTTATGCAACGCAGTATGGTGAACACTCTAGAATCGAATTTTATCTTAAACAAAAACGCAGAGATAAAATGCAGACTAAACAGAATACTCCCGGATAGAGAACAGGAGATCGATCTGAGAAAACACGCGACAATAAAAATTGAGTGAACACAGAACGAAACCGCGCTCTCTAACGAACTAAAACAATAAATCCGGGAACGAAAATTCAAGCTCCGCGGCCGAACAAATGCCGGACACATGCAATAACAATTCACATGTGCCGAGAACGACTAGGCAAAATTAATAAATCTCCTTATCTCCGGAAGGAAAGTTTTCAACGAGTAGGACCGCTCGAGACCCACTAATAAACAATTCTGCCGGACAAAATTATCTAAATAGTTTAAAGCTGCAAAAGCAGGAGACGCTGTCGCACAGATGGTGTCTACTTTAATAGTCTTTTAACAAATTAGAAATCACCACCGTTTTTGGTGGAAGCGGGCGAACCGACCAAGCGCTCTGATTGGAAGCCCCGTGGCTACCAAAAAGCGCATATAAAGCGACACTCCCGCGAACAGAGCCAGAAAGAATCCGAAGTGCGCCGAAGAATAAATAAGAAGTTGTGACAAGTGAAAAGTGCGAGTTAACCATCCAGCCTAGACGCCCGCCTGCTGCGACCGAGGAACCGGTGCGAAGTGCGAATCCACCACCGATCTAGAAAACATCCAGCCTAGACGCCCGGTTGCTGCGACCAAGAAACTACGATCGAGTTCAAACTGCACGGGTCTCCACACCGACGAAACCGCTGATAAATATGAACAACCAAGGAATTTCCCGCGCTGCGGTAAGGGCACGCCGCATTCTGCGCAACCGGGCCCTGCGACGAGCCGCATTACAGTTAGAGAAGCAGCGACTCAAATCGAAACTACACCATACACACACATTCACACACAAATCACACACATACAGCCAGCAAACGCAGACCACGAAAGCGACGCCGATTCGTGGTACGAGCCTCCTTCGTACTCCCCTGTACCCCTCGAAGAACAGCCCCGTGTCCTCTCTGAAAACCCTCCCTCTCTCCGAAACTCCCCTCCTACCCCTCTTTCCGATTCCGATTCAGAACTAGAGGCAATCCTTGAACGCTTCACTCCTTCCCCTTCTTCCTCCCGGTCAGACGACCACACACCTCTCCCTGACAACCACCCCCTTCGCTTTCTGCCACATCTCCTTCGCTTTCCGCGGTCATCCTCACCAATACCCTCCGGCAGATTAACTATAGACCTCAATCACATAACACCTGCAGAACTCGATAGAATCACACCTAATCTCCCCTTTGCCGAAATAATCTTTGTGATTCCGCCATACTGCAATGTTCATTTTTATGTTCCCGGAGCCCTCTTCCACCAATACTACCCTCTCACCCGATAATCACGAAACGTTCCTAAAGTAAATTCAAGCCACGGATCGGCTATACACACACACACACACACACACACACACACCATGACAGCATTACACGTGTAACTTCCACCGGGGGCCCTAAATACACACGTACGTCCACACACACACACTACGTCCCCGCCGGCCTCCGAGTGATGACCCGCCGCTTATTGTAAACCTCGCGTTACATTCGACATCTCAGTACCTCATAAAAAAAAACTAGTTTGATAAATATTGTACTTTCAAATGTTAAATAAAACAAATCTTTTAACATAAAAGAAGAGGAATAAATTGTGTAATAATTAATTAATCAAAGCTTGACCTCGTACATTTTCCCGTCCCAGCGATCGCACGGTCTCGTCCCTAGTCCTTGGAGCCACCGCTTCAGACTTTAAAAAGAGACCACCGAGCGAGAATACAAAGGACGGAGTAATATCGGCACGCGCCGATGACCCGTCCGTGAGTACAAACAACTCGCTCGACTCGCACACAGATAGATTTCCGCATCTTCTGTGTCGAGCATCTGAAATAAAACGTCCAGCTGTTGCGTACCACCATAGCCCGACCGTATCCATGGGCCAGAACGTAACAATACATATCGTGTTTTTGGAAAATAAAACAATTACGTCATTATTAGAGCACATATATCAATAAAATATGACAATTGTATTAAAGTTTAATATAAATGTACAAGTTCTTCGTAAAAGGTTGGATCATCATGCAGCTTTTGTTCTAACGTAACGAACTGCTCCATATTCTGCATAGGTGCGAGTTCCATTTTTCGTTTTCGTTGCGACATTGTGGCTTGCTCATCTCTCTGTGCTAATAGTTTTGGCAAGTCTTCCAGCAATTTCTTTACTTCTACAAGTTTTGTATGAATTTGCGTTAACTGCAAACTTTGGCTTTGATAAGCCTTTATTATCGTTTCCTTTAAATCTACATTTAAAATAGAAACAGAATGAAAATAGAAACACATTTAAAGGAACTAGACAGTAAAAAAAATTGTTGTCTTTTTATTTTATTTTTAGAAAATGTTATACTTTCTAACTCAAATGCAAATCAGTTTATGTAGAAACTCTCAAACTTACGGATTTAGCAGTCATGATGTCGAGCATACTTTAAAACATTTTTATGAAAAAAATGAATAAAAATAGATAATTTTGGATAAAAATATTTGGATAAAAATATTTTGAAAACATTTCGTGACTGCGGTGAGATAGATATATGAACTCCGACATAGACACCTTTAACTTTTATATTTTGATAACACGTTGTGTTACATTATTAATATTCTATTATTATTATTAATATTACTATTATTATTTTATTATTATTTTTCTATTATTATTATTTTTATTATTTTTATTATTTAATTTTGAACGAGAGCCAATACGAGCAATGATTGTTGTTGGTGAAATATTTATTGGTAATCAATCACTCAGACGATTTTTAAAATTGTTTGACACTGTGTTAGTGTTGTCATGTTATGGTTCAAGCAATTTGAAAATCTTTAACTTAACATCTTTTTGACAATTATCATAAACTGCTCGACACGGTAATACATACGCTGAACGAGGCCTTATATTCATTTATCCAGACTCACTGAGGAAGATTCTAAATTAGATCGAAACGTCTGAGTGATTGATTACCAATAAATATTTCACCAACAACAATCAGGTTTGCTCATATTGATCCTCGTTTCTAAATTCATTCGCGGATCTTTATGTATTAAAATCTCGTTAATTATTGCAAATCTTGCAAAGTGGTATAGGACTTTTCGATTCAGAATAACCCCTTCTATCTACCTACGAGCGGTGATACGGTAATTACCAGACACCCTGTATATGTATAGATGGGAAAAAGTATACTTTGAACGTATGCGCATATGTACTGTATATATTATATGTTATATAAAGACAATAGAGGTTAATATAAAAAGTTTGGGTTTGATATTAAGATTTACTGTGTGAATTAATATTATAATAAGAAAAAATATATAAATATAATAGAAAAATTGACTTCCAAATGTGGCTTTTTATTCTACACGCAAATTTCATGAATATACACGATTTTATTAGATTAAGCTCAACACGCTCATGCGCATAATGAATTGTGAAATGAGAGAGTTTTATGCGAATTTGTATACATATATCTGTCCGTAATGTTTTCGGCGGCGTTTTTCATCTTTGCTATCATATATAGTAGCATTACATATATGATATCTATATATGATTTTCATTTACGCGATTTTAAATAAAATTAGATTTATATTGCATACCTGCAATATCAAGAGATTTTTTATCATTAACTTGGCGACAAACTTTACGATGTCTATCTACTCTTCGCCGTGTCAGTTCTTGTTTTCTTTTTCTGCTTTCCATAACTTTCACTAATAAAGTTTATAACCTTATATATATCTTCTCAAGAAGAAAGTCAAACTCGACTGAAAATGTTTTGCTCGTTTCGTGCGAGAACAAACGTTTTTGTTTTTAGCGGAACAAAAGAAGAAATTAACAAATGAATAGTTTCCGTAATGATGAGTAAATTAGGCCAATCAGCGCCGACCTTTACACGGAGCATTCACGCACACCAGGTGCGCGGCTCACTGACGTATACCTGGCTAAAGATCGGCACTGATTAGCCTGATTTACTCAATAATTACTCCTTTATTATATGTAATAGAAAAAAATGGTTCAGCATTTTTTGACTCAGTTTTACTCCTTCTATCTGCCTACGAGAGATGTGACACTAATTGTCGGACACTCTGTATATATTTATATATTTTTTTTAGAAGTATAAATATTTTTACACTTGATATTTTCGAATTGAAATTTCAGTTCGTAAATTTATATAGGATGTTATATACTTGTATCACATATATGAGAATATTTATTTTTTCTTCCCAATTAATTTAGAAATATTGCAAACAAACATCTCGGCCAGAAATCGAACCTGGAATCTCTCGCTTTTTATGCGATCGCCTTTCCAATTCGGCCACCGAGTTTTTTTTTTGCAATTTAATTTCTAAATTAGTTAGGAAGAGAAAATATATATTTTCGTACATGTGATGCAGGTATAACATATCCTATATATAAATTTACAAATTGAAATTTCAATTCAAACAATCAAGTGTAAAAAATTTACACTTCTAAAAAACATATATAAATATATGTATTTGTATATATATATATTTATTCCGCACAATATCAAACGCATTTTGACTCGTATCACCTGGTAATTGTTTTTCGGGTACTTTTAACTCTTAGTTAATTTGTTAAATATTTTTATATTTGTAACTGTATCACTCAAAGAAAACAAAGTGTAATTAATAAGACAATTTATTGATTAATTTAATTTTACAAAAAAGAGTGTAATACAAAAAATGAATCATAAGTACATAAGGTATGCCTTAATTTAGTCTGGTCTAGCGCAAATCCGGCATTCCTTAGTAGGACGTGCCTGCGCGTTCCCTGATCAGGCGCAAATCGAGCTTTCCTTAATAGAGAAAAATTCAGGCATTCCTTAGTAGGGCACAAGTCAGGCGTTCTTTAGTAGGGCGTGCCTGCGCGTGCCCTGATCAGGCGCAAGTCGGGCATATCTTGGTAGGGCATGCCTGAGATTTCTCTGATCAGGCCAGCATCAGGAATTCCTAAATAGGGCATATCGGAATGCTTCTTGATCAGGGCCACATAATACGTCAGGTTTGCCGGATTTAATTTCTACTCGGTTATTTCTACGTATTTGAAACATCACATAGCTGAATTTCTTTTCTTAATTATTGGACAATTTCTCTGTGAATCTTTGTAAAATTAATTTTGCAAATATACTGCTAAGATGACTTAACGCTCGTGAAATTGTTAACAGGAAATATTTAAGGCCGATACGAGCCATTCGCAGGGTGTTTGTGCGGAAACTATGCGTGTACATATACAATATACATGTAACGAATTCTACTTGTAAATTTTTACAAGTATTTTTTGAATTGAAATCTCAATTCTTAAAATCATACGGGATGCTGGATTTGCATCTCACATATGAAAAACCCCGGATACCCCTCTAACTAATTTTAAAATATTGCGAAAAAAACACCTCGGCCAGGAGTCGAACCTGGAATCTCCGGCTTTCCGTGCCATCGTTGTTTTTTTCGCAATATTTTAAAATTAGTTAGAGGGGTATCCGGGGTTTTTCATATGTGAGATGCAAATCCAGCATCCCGTATGATTTTAAGAATTGAGATTTCAATTCAAAAAATACTTGTAAAAATTTACAAGTAGAATTCGTTACATGTATATATATATATATATATGTACACGCATAGTTTCCGCACAAACATCCTGCGAATGGCTTGTATCGGCCTTAAATATTTCCTGCTAAGATAATTCGCCATATCGTTATTCTTTTGCCGAAATAATATTTTGAAAAGTAATTTTGCAAACAACTACAAATATTTCAGAAAAGATCAATGTTTTTACATCTATTTCCTAAAATATATCTGTAAAAATTCAAATTACAATTTTAGTGCAAAATTTCGTCACATAATTTTGGAAATGGTTTGTTATCAAAGTTGCAACCGTCATCTAACACATATTGTTACCGTTCATAGTAGTATATATAAAAGTGCGTTTTCATTCTTTCTGTACATTAATAACTTTGTTGAATATAATTAACACCCATTGTAAAATAATTATTGTATTACATGCAATCTTGCAACTGAAGAAGACTGAATAAACACTCGAAAAGTTTCGCTTTTCATCATTATATATTATTTTACTGCACAACACCCTGAAAAATTGATACATATTTGCCGACTCTTTACACAAGTTTACCTGAGATAATTATTTGAGATTCTGTACAGAGAATATCTAGTCAAAAAAATATTATTTGCACAGTTACCTATAAGAAATATACATATGTGGCTCCTAAAACTTTACGATCTTCAATATTTCTGTCGAAAATGAATGGTTATTGATATCTTGTAGTATAATATAGTTTCAATAATATCATATGGTGCACATTTGAATTTCTTTGTTTGTGACAAATTTAAATATTTTTTTTTAAAAAGAGCATTCTATTGTTTTGTCTCCCAGATAATTATTTTCGCTATATTCCCATAATATGGCCACATTTGCCATAATAATCTAATTCATCAATTTTACATCAAATAGGTGGCAGCATCAGTTATCTATAAATTCTAACAGCCATCTTATAAATTTCAAAATCATTACAAAAAAAAACATTTTAATCAGAAATTGGATCTGAAGCGTTCTACTTATTTTTTGTAGAATTCTTTATCATTACAATATATTACTAATATATAATAAATAATATTACTAATATAAATATTTTTCAAGATGTGTTCAGGCGAGAAACTAAATCATAGAATTATAAGTACTATATTAATCAATAGTCTGTATATAAATAAATAAACTTTTTACATATTTGTACTAATATACAATTGAAACATTATTCGGAAAGTCCTATTAATTTGGTAATAGACATGGCAATGAGTGTTCCTAACGCGTCAATTAAGTTTAAGAGATATAAAACCTGATGATTCATTAAAGGAAGTTTGATTTCCTTTCCATTAGGTTGCTTTCTTAAACTTATTCCAATGTAGTCCAATTGTCGCGATAACACTGCGAAGTTTGTAACTAAATGTAAATTATTGTAGGTAGTTTTTGCAGTTTTGTGTTAAATCCTTGATACATAAAAAATTAAAAACGTTATTTTTTTTATCTATTAATATTATTTTTTAGTTTTGATCGAAGGAACAGGAAACGTTTTTGTATAACTAAATATTTTGTGAAATGTATAATCCACGTTGCGATTCGTGAAACCATTATAAAAGCGATTTTGTTTACTACGGTCACGATTAAAAGTGCAAGATCCACATAGAAAATCATGATTTATTCGAGTTTTCGTACTAGTATATTTGCTGTGCTTGTGTATCTATTATTGTGTTAAGGTGTAGTGAAAAATAAATATGTTTTGAAATAATTGATTAATTTTCTATTTATTTTGATTCGATTATTTTTTTCTAAAGACTTTCCTTATCGCTTATAAAGATCGACAAAGTGGAACATATTTAATGACGATTGTGAAAGTGGAACATATTTATTGACAATGCAGATTGTGTTAAGATATCTACTTTTCGCTGCCCAAATATTTTACAGTTGTGGAAAAGTAATTTTTTTACGTGGAGAATCACATCATACTAATTCATCTGTAAGTGAGAGAAAATATATATGTCTCTCAGAAGACGACGGCGGCGCACTTGTATGGAATGACAATTTAGTTCTTCGATATCAGCGAGAAAAAAATCGTACTGATTTGCGTAAGTTATTATATTCTTACAACATATCATAAACATCACCAGCTTTTAGTTTTACAACTAAACTTTTTACAATAAAGTTTCTTAACTAAGTTGTTTCACTTTTATGTTCTTAAATGCACGTTTAAAACTGTCTATATAAATAGATTCTACTTTAATTTAAGAATCATTTAATATCTTTAGTTGTAGTTCAATAGCCAAACATTTTATATGTTATTATACTTCTCGAGAATACACGCTTACCGTAAACGCGCATATTATTGTAGAGTTTCACAGTAGTCATCTATACAATACCTCGATAACGTGCAAAATGAACGCAACAAGAGGTTGTTTAGAATCCTGGGATCGAAGAAACTGGAAACTTACAGATTCTATAAAAACACCCATGGGTCCGGTATTTGATCAAAGATGGGAAGGTAGAACATTTACAGTGTGTAAAAGCTTACACCCGTTATTAATTCAAAGTATTGAATATATTGCGTCATTATATGTTTGCAAACTGTAGAATGATCTAATTACTGTTTTACATAATATACACTGAATTTTTTCAGAATTTCAAGAATTCGATTTCAATTATTTACCATTTAGAGACTACCTAAAATCTGGAGCAATGTCTATTTCAATTCGTTCATGGCAGAACGTGAAGATTTCGATATGTGGTGTACACCCGTATTCTACACTAAATTCATTTGATACAACTTGTTTTCGGATAACATTCAAATACGATAGTACGGATTCTTCCATTCAATACTGCAATTCATCTGATGTCATAAATCCGATGCAAGAACAATGTTCTCACAACATAATTCGCAAAAGAGTAAGATATACGCACAATTATTTACTTATGTACTTCTCAAAATTTTTTATACATAAATGAAAAACTTTTTCAATTACAATGTAACAAACCTACATGTATTCCAAATATAATTGACTTTATATGTTGATTACATATAATATTATAATATTTCTTAAGACATTAAAAACGAGATATCATTAAAAAAAAAAGTTTAGAGAATGTAATACAAACAAGATAATTTTATAAGCAGTATATTTAACAAAAGCTTTTGTAATTGTTCTAGTTACTGTCATTATCTGAAACTGAATGGCGAACATTTGTCATTTCATGGGATTATTGGAAGAATAATGTTACTGTTTATGATACTAATGATAAGAACAAAATGCTTACATTTGCAGATACAGAAACATATAACTTACATTTATACAATTCCTTTTCCTTCTTCTTCGAAGTACAGAATTTAGAAAAAGGGTTGTATCGCCTACATGAGTGTAAGTATTTGTATTCCAATCAATAAATTACTTTTTTTAGATACTTTACTTTATTCTAAACAAAGCAAAACGTTGTCGGACAAATTGTAATATGACGAGTCCGAATAGTTTATTCCGAAGTAGTTTTGTTCGCCAAACATGAATCTGTTGTAAGAGTTACATAATAGAGAATAAGTTATTCACGTATTAAAATCTTGACATACGAAAACGGATTTAAATATGCAAAAAAAAATTGATAACTATTAAATTATGTGTGCGTCACAATATAAATAATATACAAAGTAAGTAATGTTACAAACAATTGTTTTTAATTTGTGAAACTCAAGTATAAATTTACAACTTCAAACTTTGTTGTTTTTTGTTTCTATATAATTTTTTACTTCAAAGATATAGTAAAAATTGTTTCAGTAATAAATAAAACACACTATTTAATCATATTATTATTACTTTATAAACTTTTATTATGTAAATATAAAAAATACTTCAAAAAGTATTATATGTTTTATACTTACATAATAAAAGTATCTTCAAAAATAATAAAATAAAAACACAATAACTTTATCTATTGCATACATTTACATCAAGCTAAACAAAATAAGGAACATTTTCCATTTGTTTCAAATTGGACATTTTTTAATTCGCTATACCTTAACCGTAAATTATCGTAGAAAAAACACACTAAAAAAAGGAGTAAAGCTAGAAATGTATACCGTAACAAAGTGAGGTTGTTTTTTGAGAATATTTTAGTTAATTTTAGTTCTCAGAAAAAAGTAGATCTTGATTATTAAAATTATGTATTTTCATTGTTTGCTACTAGATAACAAAGTATTTATTAAAACCTAAAAAACAATATCACAAATTACAACAGCTTTTTTACAAGATGCATCTATACGATGCATTTTGTTAAAAATTTCAATTTTTTCTTCCCGGACTTACGTACAAATAGATAATATAAAAAACAAAACAATGTTTTTTTCTGAATTTTAAAAGATAAGAAGTTTGTAAAATCTTTTTTAAAATATTTAAAAATATACACTCTAATCGTTAAAATGCTTCGTTTGTTTTTTGTTCTACAATACTTTCTTGCTTACAATACTTATGTACGTTTATATATATATACATGTATATAGATATATGGTATTTTCTTTCTATGCATGCGGCTTTCAAACTAATAGTATTTCTAAACGGCAAAAATGATATAGAATTGACTGTAATAAAAATTAAATTCTCTAAATGACACTCACATATAAATATTGCGTTTCAGATTCTTTTCTGCACACAGTTGACAAGAATGCAATTTTAATGAGTCCTATTTATTATTTTGATACTCTAAAGATATGCATACAATTATTACTAGGATTGTGCGCAGAATGTGATGCAAACGTCAAGATAATTCATTTAACGACAAATACAATATTAAAATCTGTAACAGCTAAAGGCTCACTAAATGCTGCGATTCATGGCTTACCTATGTGGCAACTCATTAAATTTAATGAAACTTTTTCAACGGTCAACTTTAGTGGTGGTGTGAAAATCTATGTAATTCCCAAACTCACAAAGCCTAATCCCAGTCCGTTATGGGCAATAGCCGATGTTCGTGAATGCCCCACTAAAGGTACAACTATATATGGGTAATTCTTTTACAAACCGAACACCATTCTGACCGACCCATTTTTGATTTAGCTGAAACTTTTTTTACGGGTTCTATATCGAAAAAAAA